TCGCGATGTACGATATCGGACAATTGCAATTTTTTTACATCCAGGATATGATACGAATGTCAGTTACATATTTATCATTTATGTAGTGTGAGTACTGCTATACATAATAATAGTATTGGATATTGCTATTAACAGATACTACTACATATTAGTTGATAATACTATAATAAATAAACTACTAATCAATACCATGAGCTACCGAGCGTAATTTAGCTTAAGTAATGAAGCTCTAAGCAACATTTATAAGCTCCCTTTTTCTTTAAATAATAAAATACGATAAATTTTTCAAACTTTTTACGTAATTTTAATATTTTAATTTAGATTAATTATTATATTATATATAAATTAATTTTTTTATTATAAAACTATTATGTGAATGTACAATTCAATATTTAATTTGATTTGAGAGAAATAAGAACAAAATTATGTGTAATTATTGCAATATAATTAACACAAACATTTTGCGAATTATATTGAAACTTGATCTAAAAAAATCTATTAAAAAAATTTAATTAAAATTTAATTTTAATGCTTAACATAAAATAGATCTCTAATCACAAAATTTAAATTTTGCTTTTTGTTGTACAAAAAATAAATAAATAATAAAGATGTTAATATTAATTTCAATTTTTAATTTATATTTTGTGTATTCTTAAATAGTTCAAATATTAAAATTTATCTTTACTTAATAACATTTATAAACAATATATTCTTTAATAATATTATCGCAAATTAATATAAACTTGGGAGAAGAACCTTTTACATATTAGAATCTGTAGCGGTTTTTTTTGCTTGTACAAACTTTTATAAATTATTGTCAAAAAATGGAAATAATTATGTTAAAATCTTTCTTTTTCAACATGATATTGATTTTGAATGTCTTTATTATGAAATTTACTCCGCGATTTTTACAATAATAATGAATTTCTTTGATATTTAGTTTATATAAAGTCTTCTATTTTAATCAATATATGCAAATATGATATGTAAAATTGATGGGTTCCAAGGAAAAACATCACGTAATATATGTACCTATTTTATTGGCAAAGGCATGTGAAAATTTTAAAGCTCTCATTTTAAGACTCGTCATTTTTTCTTGAATAAAATTGTATGTAGCTTTTTATGTTATAATTTGAAAAATATTAGCGAATATTAATACATTAAATATTAGTTTATGTAGGTAATATCTATTTTATAAATTAATTTATATTTAATACTGCAAATTAATATACACCGTTTTTTCAATATTAATATATAAAAATTTATCTGAATAATTAAATAAATTATCAATTAAATGATTGTCATATAGGTACAGATAATTTTGAATATTTACGAATAAAGTGTTATTTTACATTTTACGCGGCTCAGGTTTATCAGTATTTATGAGATGTAATATAATCGTTCCGTGTATAATAATATCCTCTTCGTGCACATAATAACATTATCTAGCATAATTCAGCTTTGAGTTTAAATGCAATTAATCTTTATTCTAGTGATTTACTTATGATATGAAAGATATCATGTTTGATCAAGAAATAAATTGAACTTCACCTTCATTTAATTTTATTAAATAATAATTGTTAAAAAAGACATGAAATGACATTATTGTAAAAATATATCAATTTGATAAAAAATATTATTAACCAGTATCGAAAAATATGCTAATTCTAAAATGATTTTATTTATAATTTTTTTATTTATTACCCAAATTTTGTCTTGTTAGCAATATTATAATTGTTTATTAGTTGATTTATATGAATTAACTGAGATAGAAGAAGAATTACACGTATTGCAATTTAATTTTTGCTTCATATATTAAATTCTGTGCACTTACATTGGATATTATATATATATATATATATATATATATATATATATATATATTTCTATAGCACACGCACACACACACACACACATGCGGCGCTCGTAATTCTTTAGAGCTTCTTTATCGTTGTGTGACATTAAATCGAGGAAACAGATTTGATGCAGCTAATCGTATAGTAGAACGACCACATAATTTTGTTTTATCCCGCGTCTCACAATTTTATCCTTGAATTTTATGATATTCATCATGTCTCTTAGATTGGCCTGAATCGCTGATTTTAATCTACACTATTCCACTATAAAAGCTAATTGAAAATAAATTGCGTTTACTGAGATAGCACTGTAAATTAAATATCTCTGAAATTAAAACTCACTTTTCATTTGTTATAATAGATACATCTCATTTTCATGTCGTCACTTGGCTCGGTATAATTCCGAATTAATTTAGATTAAGAAACTATTAAGAAACAGATTCATATTCATATGCAATTTATATACCTACGGTATATTTTATTCATTTATCCCGTTGAAGCTTAATCTTATGCTTCTTCAAAGTCACATAACTTGGTAATTAAATTCTAACGAGAAATTGAGCACAAATTATATAAAAAAATCTTGTGCCATTGTATATCGATTTCCCTGCGCGAGATCTTACATATATGTATATATGTACAATATAGCTACGTAAAGCGCTGTCTCGCAATGCGCGATTTATGAATTCACAGCTAAACTGCACGCTGTGCATTCGGATGCATTCATGTGTGAGGTTCGCCGCGAAAAAGCACAGATGCCGAGTTATGGGCGACCAGACGGCGCCCCACGTCTGTTCGGCGATGCAATGGAAAATTGCAAGTCGGAATATCGCTGTCGGTATTTTTCCGGGATTCAGCACCGCGAAACGTATCCATTCGCGATCTGGTTTACAGTTAATTTCGTCGCGTCGGAAGTTGAATGCCGGTTAAACGATACTCGGTCGCATTCGCGGCCGTCCTAAACCGTCTACATACCCTTACCTGTCGCCCTTTAACCGCGTTATCGTCACTAGCACGGTGCCTTGTCAGCAACGTTGATAACGCGTGTCAAGCATACGTTGTTGCACCAAAACGGGAATCAGGCGCCCGTTCTGCCGGAATTTAAGCTCGTATTACAAAGTTCTGTGTACGCGCACATGGTGCTCGCGCTTCAACTGCTTTGCTGCTTTCTGCATGCATCAGATGCTTAATAAAGTGTAACGATGATAAATCCCAATTTAATAAAAATATTTTTGTGACAGCTAGACGAATCTTACTTAAATAAATTCAAAATAATTTGCGTCAAGAATCGTTCAATTATAATATCAAATAATAACATGACATGTTATTTCTTTGGATATATTGAACATTATTTTAATATTGAAGCATTTTTCATTATTTTGTTTTCCTTATTATTTGGTTTTTAATATTTCTAAACAATGATATTTGACAAAATTAGAATATTTTGTATACAATAATTTTCAAAAAAATTAAATCTTAACTGATATAGAAAAAAATGATATTTTATAGAGGATTTTTTGGATTCCTTATTTTCTTAGATTTTTAAAAAATAACTTTTTATAAGAATATAATACTTTTATTTTTTTCATTATGCAATTTGTTTGAATTCAAAATTAATGAAAAGAAATGTGAATAAATATTTTTAAATTCGATATTCTTCGTACGATAAACCAGTGTGCTTATCACACAACAGAAAAAAGAACTTCAGATTCACAAAAGAGATTGTACTCCAGAGGATATCGATCGGCATCACGTGCGATCTTAGCTTACTATACACCACGTTTACAACGAGTATTCTCGTTTATTGAGTCTCGGCCCTTTTCTCTCCCAGCCCTACCAATCCCTTGTCAAGATAAATAAGTTCTTTCCTCATAAATAATACGGTAACGAAACGTCTTTTATTTTTTTTATCGTTGCCTCTCGCGGCAAAAGCCGGCAGGAAAGGTGAAATTCGTTAAGTGTGAGAGTGCTAGTCATAAATTTTATCTACGAAATTAAACATTTTCTTAGGGAAAAGTATAGTTAAGCATTTATATTTCAAGGCCGATTTTTCCAACTTTTTCGTCTCTTTTCAGATAAGTTCTAAAAAAAAAAAACAAAGATATGCTACTTATTGTCGGGTAAAATTTACCAAGAGTTGAAACAACCGGCCCTTAGTAAAACTGTTTATAATTTTTTTATTTTGATTAAGAAGATTAAAAATGCATCAAGAAAAGAACCTCCCCTTTAATATCATGCTTGTTACATTTAGGAGTTGAAAGTATGCGATATATGCAATCTCTTAGGAAAGAATAGAACATAAAAATGTATCCATACCATTGTAAACATTATTGTTACATCGTAATTTTTAAATTTCAATATATATTTTATAAAAAAACTAAAAGAGTTATAACTTGTTAATTTTTAGTCTTTGAAATTACGCAACATAATTTTAAAGATAAAGTATAGTCAAGAATTTAACTTGATGCGTTAACTTTCATCAAAAGTTAAATGAAATTCATTTTCATAATAAAACTAATTATACAATGCAAAATTATGTCGGCTACAAAAATTATTGAACAATTAAAATTTAAATCTCGATAACCGGTTAGTCTAACAATCCGCATCAGTGTAATAATTCTACTAGTCATTCGTGCAAAAATACTTCGTTTCGCTTAATTTCCCGTATCCTTTCAAATTGATTATCCATAATCCATATTCATGGATAAAAATATTAATTAAAGATAAATGGAAAAAGAAAATGATTTATTTCTTTCGTCACACGATGGCAACGAAAAATATCATCATTTCAGAAGCTTCAATTTCGATAAGTCCTTGGTAGAAGTAACACAATCACTGGAAGTTTAACATCGGAGCGAGCGAGCTTAGAGCTGTCAGTAGTAACGGCACGCGTCGCGTCAGACGCGACGCGACGCGCACGCGACAAGACGCGGCGCGGCATCGCGCCGGTCGAGCCGATGGACAATAATTGTCCTACTGAATTTTGCAAATTGGAGCTATTAGACGCGATGAACCGGACGTGAAACTGCGCGATGTTTTTTTCCTTTTTTTCACGACCCTGAACTTGAAGCGCCACGGAGATAGGAAGACAACGAAAATAAATAGGGAGCAAGAACCAAGTGGTGCTAAACGATGACCTCTTACCTTGCTACGTCACGGAGATACACGCGAAATCCGTCCATGCCATTCTCTATCTCGAGCACAGCACCGCACTGCACCATACACAGAGCACTACTTGAGCAACACCTCCCTCACAGTCGGTCTGTCTCTTATATCTTTCTCCTATATTCCTCGTTTCCTCCGTCTATCTCTCACCCTTTTATATCTTCATCCCCCTGTCCATTTCTCTCTCTCTCTCTCTCTCTCTCTCTTTCCTCCCCTCTCTGCCTCCCCTTTTCTCTCTGTCTCTCTCTCTCTCTCGATCTATTTCTGTCTGCCTGCCTATCTTTCTCTCTCTCTCTCTCTCTTCCTCCCCCTTTGTCACGCCGGCAGGAGAAATCCTTCGTCGTCGGCCTCCCTTTTCTCCGGCACCTTCTCCTTGCTCTCGGGGACGACGATCGAGCCGTGTCAACGAGAATGATCGCCGACGACGACGATAAGGGTAACGACGACAACGGCAACGTCGTCGACGGCGAGGGCGACGTGAGACGTGATTAGGAGGAAGAGGAAGAAGAAAAGGAAGCGCCTCCCTGCGGCACGCGCGCGCGCGAGAGAGAGAGACGATCCAGCATCCAGCTACGCCCGTGACAGTGTCTGGGCAACTACTGAAGAAAGGATCTGCGCGTTCCGGCGCAAGCTTTCGTTCCCGTTTTGACCAGACACGGCGCCACCGTGGACCACCCGTTTCCCCGAGGGAAAACGCAAGGGATCGGGGTGGAGATAAAGACACCCGGTACGGATGATACGGAATAGGGGTGGCCAATGATATTATCGCGATATTACAAAATATATAGATCTTTCTCTCTCTCTATTTCATATTTTCTTCGACGTTTACTTCCAAGTTTACTTGCCGATACTGTAGGTGATATCGATATTTAATAGGAATCGTAACTAGCAACATATTCTGTGTGTGCCAACACACATACAATTTTCTTTTATCTTTTAGTCATTCAAGAGTAACTAGTCTCGTAAGCTGCTCATAAAATTTGTAATCAATTTCCTTCGATTACGATATCGTCGACATTTAAATGCAACCCAATCTAGTTATTTTTTATCTTTGTTAATAATTAATTTCTATTTATTTAATCTGTCATGTTTAAAAATTAAACACCGATACATTTCACAGTATTATACTTCAATGTTTAAATTAGATTTGTTATATAAAAGCGTTTGAATCTTATGTCTTTATACGTGAACATATTTTTAATACATATATAATTATATACCTTAATAATAAAATATAAAAACTTTTTATATTATGGAAAAAAAGAGTAACATAAATTTTACGAAAACACACTATTCATTTATATTAATTTTAAATGGCCCTCTCTTGAATATTTTTCACTTTCATTTAAAGTTCACTTAAAAAGTTTAAAACAGAAAAGACAAATTATATAAATGTATGTTTTTAACAAAAATTTAATATGCTGCACTAGTATTATAAAAAAATTGTAACTTTAAGCTGTCTCAAATGAGAGAGAGAAAAAGAGAGAGAAAACGTGTACTATTTCTATTATTTAAAAATTTCAATCCATTGTGATCATAGAATCTGCTTCGGCAAAGATAATGAAATATATCAGTATTGACGTGAAATTTCATTTAATTAAATATCAAGAATAGTTCACTATACGTTTCTAGATACAATGCCGATCGAGGCCGCGTAAATTACACCGTTAGAGATACGGTATTTTGGCGAGATAAGTTTCGCACGGTCGATACTGCGTTACTATGTTGGAGGCGATATACTAACGCACTACTAACGTACTGATATCGTACGTCGTTAAAAAGGCCGCCTTTTACCGGGCGCGGCACGATTCTCAGTAAATTCGACGAACTACGTGACGGGACCTCGTTACAATTTACGACTGAAAACCAACGTGTAAATAGCGACGAATGGGCGATATTTTAGCGAAACAAAGTTGTGATCGGAATCATGAGCTATGTATTTCCCCTTCTTGCATAATAATATCATTTATTATCTATTGTATTCTCTTAATATGTTAATTATTTGAATTATAAAAGACAACAATTGCAAATTGCAACCAATCTTATTTTAGTGTCTATACACTGAAAAAAATTTGTTAACTTGACTAAACTTTTCAACTAAATTATTATTTTGTTAATTGAACATATATTAGTATTTAAATCAAATATACGTTTTGTTAGATTTAATATGTTACATTTAATTTAAATATTTTTCTATGTTCAATTAACAAAATGATATTTAGTTGAAAGGTTTAGTCAAGTTAACAAATTTTTTACAGTGTAATAATAATATTTAATTAAATAATCATAAAAGCGCGTTGTGCTGTTTTCAGAAATAGCCTATTCTATTGTTATGTTATTTTTTTATTGCTATATAAAAGACATGAAATATCTTTTATATATAGATTATTTCATGTCTTTTATATATATAATAATAAAAAAAATTAACATAGCAATAGAATAGACTGTTTCTGAAAACAGCAACGCGCTTTTATGATTATTTAGTTTAATTTTATTATCATAAATTAATCATCTAATAATAATAATTGATTACTGATGGATATGCATGTAAAGCAAAAAAAGTTTATATATATGCATATAAAGATAAATGCATATAAATTGTAAAAATTGCATAAACAGATAAACTTGTAAGAATAATAAAATTGCCCAGATGTAACAAATAAATGCACACAAATATATATAAACACATATGTAAAAATACCAAAATATGAAGTGAAAATACACATATAAAAATTTCATAAAATATACAACAAGAATAAATAGAAAATATGAAAATGTTAATTGCACATACTTGCATCGTAATTGTAAACGCAAGTATGTGTATAAAAAATTATACAATAAATATAAAAATTCGCGGCGCGATGTACAAAATGTAAAATTGTTAATTTAACAATGCATGATTGTTCTTTTTTTTTTGAAGTTGGAAATCAATGCGATTACTACAAAATATTACTACATATTAAGCAATTACTACATATATGGTATAATCTATTTCTTATACAATGTTCTGCATTATGTATGTGTCTCATATTTACATGTTATAAATTTATATATGCAAATAATAAAAATTATATATATTATATATAATATAATTTTAATACTTGTAAGATTTTTTAAAGTTTATATAATATATTTACATATTTTTTGTAAATATATAATTTTATATTTTCGTATATAAATTCCATATATTTATTATTATATTTTACTTTTTATTATTATTGAAAAAAAGATCCTAAAGTAAAAAATATTTGAATTATTTTCGTAATTATTGTAATTAATATTATTTTGCAAATTATAATATTAAATTATGTATTAAATTATATGAAATAATAATATAGTTAACTATATAATACAAAATGCAGAAACAATGTTATTAAAAAACAGATTAATTATAAAACTAATCAAAACTCATCATTTCGCGACGTCCCTCGATGTCCAACGCTGTATCTTCCGCCGCAACTATCAAATCTAACAAATCTATCCGGAAGTGGTGCAGCAGTCTCCATAATTTAGTCCATATGTAGTCCAACGTCGATAACTCATATTCGATTACAGTTTATTTCACACAATACACTCGCGACGCGAATATTTCATTAAATTGTAATTTTAATGAATTCAATAATTAAATAATTTAAATGTGCTAATCAACGAATGTTAATCGTAAAATAAAATTTGCGGATTTGATTAAGCAATTTTATATTTTACTTCACTTCAGTCTTTACAGTTTTTATAGTCTTTCTCTTTCCAATTTTATTTTACACATAATATACACTCGCGACATGAAAAGACTCAATTTGCAAATTTGTTTAATCATAGTCCCTTTGTTGCAAAGTATTTATAAATCAAATTTAAATCATATTTATCGCGGCACATTAAAAAAAGTTTATAGAGTTTTTTATCTAATATAAATTGAATTTTACACACATATATATATGTATATATTATACTTCACATATTTTTGCGAAGATCACTTTGCTTCGCAATATCTTTGCGAAGATTGTTGTCGCAATATCTTTGCGAGGACTGTTGTCGCAATATCTTTGCGAAGATTGCCTCGCCTTAATACATTTTTGATACCAAGTTTAATTTTGCAATTTCTTTGATATCGTTTGACAAATATCGTTTTATCGCAATATTAAAATATGCATAAAAAATTAAAATCTAAGCATTGATCAATATTCGAAACTTGCAAAATAGTTGTCGGATGAAATTATTATAAAAATTCTAACATTATCGTAAAATTCTTATAATTCGCAAATTTAATTCAATGATATTTGTACTATTTATTTGATAACGCGAATATATAAATAATAAAAGGAAAACTAAAGATTGCATCAATAGTAAAAATTAAATAATAAACTAAAAAGAACTAAATCGCGAAATTTATCAATGTCTTTATATTAATTATAATTCTCACGAAATTCTTTCTAATTTATAAATTATAAATTAAATTATAAAATTTGTAATTTTTTCGCATGAAATATTATCTATGAAAATCTATAAAAAATGGGGAATCGAAAAATACGCAAAAAACCACGAAATATAACTAACATGTATAAAATTATCACGATTTCTAATTTATTATGATTTTCTCGTAACTTAGATGTCAATTTAAATTTAATTTTTCAGGAACAAAGTTCAAAAAGAAAATTAAACTGTCAAGAGAGCAGATAAGTGGTATAAGTCAACTATATATATATTATAACTATATAATAAGTTTAACTCTCAAATATAGAATTTTAATAGAAATTAAATATGCCTTATCTCATAATAAGAACTGTCAAAATAATAAATTATTGAAATTGTTGAATTATCGAGATGTTTGACAAGATTAATAAATATAGAACAAAATGTATATGTATGTGTGTGTGTTTATTATACTTATTATGCGATATATTTAATTAAAATTCATAAAATAATTGGTAAAGTTTAATATACTAATCATATCACATTTTTATTATAAAGTTTATAACAATTATTAAATATTAAATTTTATTTAATGGACTTTAATAAAAATATAAAAAATACAAATTAAAAATATTCTACTAGATTATTATATGCGATACTACAATGTAATTTATTGTAAATAATAAAAAAAATTGTTTAATCATCGCAGTTAAGTAATTAAAATAAAATTTTGATATATTACAAAATTTAGAGAAATTATTCAATTTTATTTTAATAAGTAAACCAAAAACATATAAGAAACAATTGATAATAAAAATTGCTAAATGTTGTAAAATTAATTGTTCAATTACGATATTCTATTCTATATTAGATCAAAAAATTATTATAATAAAATAATTCTATCTTAAGCTATTTTGTAAATATTTTTCTATTTTTAGAAGGAAAAAATGACTTATATCACTTCTTTGCTTCTATACTGAAAAATGCATGCAAAAATCTACAAGCAATATAAATCGCACTGATTTCAAAGATAATTTCGGCGGGAAACAAACCATCACCTGTACCCTAAATTCCACTCACCAATACTGCCAAATTGATCATATCACGTATCGAGATCTGAAAAAAATATATTGTTATAAAGTATATCGTTTTATGTAAAGGTGTATATAAATATATATATATATATATATATATATATATATATATATATGAGATCTAATTAAATAAGTTGAATCAATAAACATTATAAATAAATTTTTAAGCTTTAATTTTCAAAAAATTACAATAAATAAATAACGACAATGTTACTAAATTACATGTTACATGTAACGTACACGTTATATTACCTGTTACATTCCGTTTTATTATAGCAATGTAACAGTTATATATCGGTGTTTGCTGGGATAAACTTATTATAATTATATACATACATTTATTATACAATAGTATTTTATTTTATTCGTTATTCTGTATCAGATTAATAATAATTATAATTTTCTCTATTTAAATCATTCATAAAAAAATAAAAATTGATATAAAATATGCATATTATTAAATTTATAAGAATTATATTATGTATATGCACATATATATTACTCATAGAGAGAGATGTATGTGTACAAAATATAATAAATTATTGCATTTTGCTATATTAATTTATTATATTTCTATTATATATCTGATTAATTAAAAGTTACAGTTAAGAGCAATATAATATGTATATGAGCAATAAAATATATGATAGAATATATATATATTATAATATGGTTTACATTACTTTTTATTCTATTTTATTAGATACATACATATATATGTACATGTATGCATACACACATTTATTTTATTATATTATTACATTTGAATATATAAATTTAATTTATTAATAATAGTTTTCTTTATTAATTACAAAAGATACAATAATATATTTATTATATAAAAGTATCTATTGATTCATTTATTTTCTATTAAGAATAAATTATTTTCAATAATAAAGATATAAATATATTTATAATTTTCAAATCAGAAAAATTTATAATGATTGAGTTTGATTGTTGAGACATAAGATTTATTTCATAGTACATCCATAAAAAGAGCAGTTTTAATATTTAATTAAGCTTTTTTCTTTTTGATTCTATTGTATAAATGCATCAAAAATAATCAAGAATGTTCGTACGACTTTTCGATCTCCGTATTCTTCATCATAAAAGTCTCACGAATCATTTTTTTGGTTATATATTTGATTCTCGTACATATATGTGTACTTGTGTGTATGCACTAAACACGAATTATTTTTATATTCATTAAAAGAATTTCAGAAAAATATCAAATATCTATACTGCCCCAGAGTGTATCTTTATTTGTGTATTATATTTTATTCGTAAAAAGTGCAAGTATATAAAAGGATCGAATTCTTATTCTTTCGCGAGACGTATTAAATCGTATATAACATTATGAACATCTCGAAATACTTTTTACTTCTTTATCGATTAATCATACGTGCTTCAGATATTGTTTCGTTCGAAAAGTATATTTTGTAGACACAAGAACTTTTAATTACCTGTTTCGTGAAAAATTGTCAAGCAGCGTACGAAGGAAAGAGTGGAGTCGTCGCCATATTGCGCGCGTTGAAATTCGACAAAACAGCAGCATGAAGTTGTTGATTATCGCTTCCAGACATCGAAAGCAGGGGTCAAAATCTTTAATATTCAAATTTGATTTTAATAAGCAATTTTAGTTAAAATGTTTTAATAGATTAATCGCATACAATGATTTGGCATTTGTTTGTAATTTTATTCAAAATATACATATATAAAATATATATCAAAAAATAATTAATCTCATTAATTACAAAAGAAAACATTTAAATACATGTTTTCAATAAATAATATAGAAAAATATATATAAATTAAATACATATTAATTTAATAATTAAAAAATTGATAATGTATAAAACTTTCATCATTTAACTTTAACTGAATTATTTACAATTTAATTATATCCATTATTATTAAAATTAAATTTTCATGATAGTTTTAATACATTTCTTAATTACATTGATACTTTTTCGAATTTTTAGAACACGAATTATTTTTTTTAATTATTTCAAATCAATATATATTAAAAAAAAAAAAGATTTTCGAGATAATTCCGTTTATTATATATTTTCTTCATAATTCACCCTCGATGAAAATAAAAATAAATTTGCAAGTCATTCTCCATCCAATTATTGATTGGACAAATTATTGTCCAATAAATATTGAACTAATAATTTATAATTTATTTAGATAAGAAAAATTTTTAATTTTCTTTTGACTTTACATTTTATTTCATAGTACATCCATAAAAAGAGCAGTTTTAATATTTAATTAAGCTGTTTTCTTTTTGATTCTATTGTATAAATGCATCAAAAATAATCAAGAATATTCGTACGACTTTTCGATCTCCGTATTCTTCATCATAAAAGTCTCACGAATCATTTTTGAAAAAATCTGAAAAGCTTAATCATTTAAAATTTTATAAATAGAATAATACCATATATAAGTTCAATAAGTTCATATAAGTTTAAGGAACATTTTTTGCCGCAGTTTATTGCCAAATTAATTAATAAAACATAAATAACATTTGAAGAAGTGTGTTGACATCAATTGTGTCTAACAATCTTTTGTTAGGATTATAATAACTAATAATTTATCTAACAAAAATTTTTTTTCTTTATAATTATTCGCATCACAATTATAAAATTATCTTATTGACATAGTAATATTTTCTGTAGATTTTACTTCCTTTAATATCATACTTCATATTTGTGTGCGGACAATTTAATATATTTGCTGCAACTTACATTTTAAAATACATTTAATATAATCCATATGAATTAACGTCAAATATGATTAAGGAAAATACGTATTCTTGTATCACATTTATCTTAAACATTGTGTTAAAAGGACAAATACTGAATACTAAAAACTTAATCACATTTTTCGCATTTTTATGAAATTATAACTTTTGTATCTTTAAAAATTACACATCAAGAATCTTGCTAAAATATTTTCTGCCATTTTATTTCCAAAATAATGATGCATAATAATTTTAACTATTAATTAATTTTAGCTAAGACGTCGTAGAAAAATCCCTTAATAGTTCCATTTTTTTAGTTATTAGAAAACTATTTTAATCTAGAAAAATGCAAATTTATCACAATACTATTTAACTAAATATGTGTAGCCGAAATATGTATGTAATTGAGACACTGTATATGTATATTACTAAATATACTGTGTGTGTGTTAAACATTGATAAATCATCAAAATATATATAAGAACATACTTATATATTGAAAAAGAAACTAACATGGCAGATTTCAAAAAAAATCGCCAAACTTGTCAGACTTATAATTGTATATAATCTTCTTTCATAAGTCAAAATGTCAAAGTATATCAAACTTTTGTAATATATCTCAATGAGTAAAAAGAACATATATGTAAAGGAACAAAACAATATAAACCAAATATTAATAAAATATTAGTATATTATACTCAACTCTCTTGTCATGCTCAACTTATATACTTTTTTGAGTCTTTTATAAAAAAAAAATTGTATATAAAAACACTTTCCATTTTTTATTAATAATGATTTATCATTGCTATATTTCTCTTTAATCGCATATTCTTTGAGAATCAATTTTTTCTTTAATAAGAAAAGTTTAATTTGTGTTTTTTCCTTATTTTATAATTATTTTAATTTTTTAACCTTAAATATATTTTTATTTTTAGCTTTAAATCAAAATTTTATTAAAATAGAATATCTATAAAGTTAATTAAATAATAATAAAGCAATAGTTTACATATATTTATATATTTAAGATTTACTTCTGCAAAGAATCTGCGATGTATAAGAAATAAAAAGATATGCTGTAATATATAAACTTTATAAACAAAAGATTATATTATTAAGAAAACATAAACAAAAGAAAACATATCTAAATAACTAAAAAATAGTAACAAAACAAATAAAAAAATTAAATATTAATATAAAACATACTAACTTATCAAAATGTAAAATTATTAATAAAATCTCGTTGTACATCTGTGTTTTTGTGATGTTCAAAATAATTTTCGTAACTTGTGTAAATTGTATCAGTTTTACAGATGTTATTAGAAACCAATTATCATTGATTTTTTCACACTTATTAATCGTCACAAACAAGTATGTGTCTTTGAAAAGCACGAAATCTAACATATGATTTCGAACACTTGTTACAAGTATAGTACTTCTCATAAGGACCATCTGATACATTATGCACAATCTTCAGATGCTGAGCTAATGACGATCTATGTCTGTAAACATGTTTATAATAAATATATACTATCAAAATAGCAAATCATTTTTTTATTATTTATCTATAATTTTACCTATATAATTTATTGCAGACCTGACACTTATAATCCTCTTTGTAAAAGTTACAGCGAGTAAAATGTTTTTTAAACTGATGCTTTTTATTAAATATCCTTCCACATTGAGTACATTGAATAACATATAAATCTGAAACCAAAAATTATTTATTTATATTTATTGAATATTCATTTTGTATATAATTTATAATGTACATTAGTTATATACATTATATGTGTGTGTGTGTGTGTGTGTATGTGTGTAAAATTTATTACAGTTATATATTTTTTGTTTTTCTCTCCCTCTCTTTCTCTTTTCCCTCTTTTATTTACCTTCCTTGTTTTTTTGTAACGTTTTTTTAGAGTTGGAAACAGGTACATCAGCTGAGATTGCAGTTTCAATGAGTGATTCATCTTGAGAAATCATTTTACTTTCTTTTATTAAATTGTTTTCTAAATTCAGATAATCTATTTCATCAAAAATGTTTATTTTTTCTGGAGATTCAAAAAAATTTATTGATCCATTAGGTTGCTTAACAAATCCTGTAGAATATGATTCTACACAAATATCTTGCACTTCATCGATATGGCAAGATTGTAAATTTGGTGATTTATTTTGTTCCATCAACACATCTGCATTACTTTCAATTGGTTCTGTTGTACTATTGCTGCCAGTACATACATTTTTCTTTATAATATGCGTCTCTTCAAGCTTATCTAATTCTTCCAACCAATTGTCACCAAGTATATCATCATAATAATCACTAATACAAAAATTATTTATATTAGTATAAAAATCATATGTAAGAAATTCTGTTTCCATGTCGCTATTTATAGAGGTTGAAACTGGTTCTTCATAAAATATAATATCTGTGTCATGTGACATACAATTTATGCAAGTACAAGTATACAACACCTCAGGTTTCACTAAAAAATTTGAAGCAGTATCTCTATTTATCAATTCTTTTTTCAAGTCAGTTTCCATTATTGGAAACTCATAATTTGAAAAGTTTTCTTGAAAAATATTTTTATTTTTCATCATATTAACTTCTGTTGAAATGCCAGAAATAACAGGATTATAATTTTTGCCATGGTTTTTCTCAAGATTGTAAATCTCATTGTTACAGTAGAAAATGTTAGACGATTCCACTGATTTTGTTTCAATATCATTTAAATTGTTTACATAGTTTGAAGTGTCAGGTTCACAGATAGATTGAGTAAGTATAATGTTATTGGCAAAATTATTAACATCTTGTACTGCAATGTTTTCTTTCATATTTATGTGTGAAATAGTGGTTAATTCAGTATCAAAGTTTGATTTTTTATAAAACTCTTTATAAGACTTTTTATGAGACATTTTTTTCGTTTTGCAACTAGATTTGCCATCTGCTAATTTTCTTGATTTCTTGTTACACAAATTTCCTTTCTGCTTATCACATTTTAATCTCTTCAATGGTGCAGTCTTCTTATAACTTAGTGGAACATGTAATGTATTTAATTGATTAACTTTTTGTAACGTATTTTTATCTTTATTATTATTCCAATCAGGTATATCACAGGATAGATCCAATGGATTGTGTACTTGTTTTCTTTGATGATGTGATTTTGATGATGCAATTCTATTATAATTGGCTTCCATCTCCAAACCAATGCCAGATAATATTGTATTTAGTTCAAAACTAGTATTTATATCTTTTGATACAAAGCAAGTATCAATCTTATCCAATGTAAGTGCTTTATAATTTTTTAATATTCTTGTGCTATTATTTCTTAAAATATTAGGCAAATTCCGTATAGGTTGTGTACTGTCCAATGTTTGATTTGTAGTAGTGTCTTCTTTAAGTATATTCAGATCCTCAATAAAAATAGGTTTAGAAGATTCCACAGAAAGCACAGATATTTCAGTATCCTTCATATTTCTTTCAATATTGCAATTGTGTGTCTGCATACTCTGTTTTGATACGCATAAACCTTTAATCAATAAAAAAATAATAATTGGTGTGCAAACATTTCTGTAATAAATATATATCAATCAAAATATAAACAACAAATATAGAAGATAAAGTACATGCAGAATTATTACTAATTAATTATTAAATCAATGATTAATTGCATAATTAAAGTAATGAAATACTTAATTGGTATTTCAAAGAGCATTTCTATACCTTTTCACTTTTCCATTTAACCAAATGTAATTTCTATAATAAATATAATAATAAAACTAATTTTTTTCTTATCTAAAACAGTAATAAATGTTAATATAATAAAAGTCAGATACGTCACATATTTAATAAAATAATATTGATCATCTGTGCAGAAATAATGATGGCGATGACACAGAGATAATTTAAAACATTATTTTATGCACACACATACAGTAAAAATATGTAAATTTTACATGGAATCTATGTATTTATCAGGAAATTTAAATATTTAAATTTTATCAATTTCTATATCTGTTGAATTCTATAATTAAATCATCAATTACATACATCATTTAAATAATAATATTAATTATAAACCTCTTTTAATTACGATTGGAAAATATTTTTTACTTTGTTTTCAAAATAGAATGCAAGCAAGTATAAATAAAGTAAATAGATTCCATTTGTCTCTTTTTCATATCTCAAATTTAAGTAAAATATAAAATATCATTCATAATAAAATTATTGTTATGAAATAATCATGTCTTATTCAGTCCTCCAAAGTACATTGTAATTAAAAAATTGTTATAATTTCTAAATGTGTGCAATAAAATTTTAAATATCTGTGACTAAAAAGAGAAATTGTTTATTATTACCTTTTACATGTTAAGTTAATAAACACAACAAAATGTGAGAAAATAAAATTGTCATTTTTGTTTTATCGCTTACAGAAAAAAATACTAATTAAATTCGAGATAAAAATATATTTTTACATAAACTTTTATTCTAATCAATTCTGCACACACTGTCGTCAATTAATAATTTTTGCACAGTCAGTATAATTATTAGATAAAAATATCAGTGTCATACTTACACACGTTCTATCAACAACAAAGGAATTACTCTTCACACCCTATTGTTTCAAAAGTTCACCAATTTTCAAGATCAATATATAATTATCACAATGCAGGTTTTCGTCACAATGAAACTCGTCGCTTGCTCGTGCAAGACTGAGGACTAAACTAAGGCAAGCGATATACGATACGTAAAAGTGTGCGTCTTCTTGGTCACTAAACAGAAAAAGAAACTTGAGAAGTCCTTGAGTGAGCGATAACGCTCTTAGAAAAAATGACGTCCTACGAATGCCGGCAAACTATAAACACTGTTTACTTCAGAATACGTCCCTTTTTCTAAACATATGATCGGATGACTCGCATTTCAATGCGCTATAATATATACATTTTCAATCGGATTCAAATAACCATATGCACACATAAAGGTTTTTATACGTACAAAAATATATAGGTCTGCTGCGAAGAATCCTAGAAATTGCCGTTTCCACTTACACCTCATCGTCCTTATTGTCATATGTGACGCACTAAACCGTAGGGGTTCCCTAACTTAAATTCTTACTCCCTTCACGTTTCTTCACGTCACTTTAGCTTTTGTTGGTATTAATATTTATTCTTATTGCTCTCTTTAGTGATAATTCAATACAGAATTAACGTAAACAACTTATAATGTGAGAATGCTAATTTTTACCAACATTAGCAATCTTTTTTTCATTCATAAATTTTTAATAATTATGTATATCTTTTCGCGATTTGAGAACCAACATATATATGCGAATTAACCAATCATAACCTTTTTTAAATTATAATTTTTAATTTTAATTTTTTAATTATAATTTTTAATTATATTTTATAATATAAAGGAAGTTTAGTTAACAAAATATGAAACTAAATGTTGATTATATAAATTTTGTGAATTTAAAAATAATTATATATATATATATATATATATATATATATATATATATATATAAAAGAATTTAAATAATTAATAATTGAAATCATTATACATATATGTTATCCATATTTATATTATTAAAAGATATAACTGAAATTGAAAATATTTTCAAAAATTTGTTGCTTCTAAAAAATAAATCATTTTATAATGCTAATGATGTATAATTTTTAAATTTGTGTATACTATTCTATTGAATAAATAGATCAATTCCTTGTAAATAGCTCAGGAAAATTAGCATATGTATAAATGTATAAAGTGAGATATAACATGATAATAAAATATTTTATTAAAATAAATTGCAAAAATTATAATATAGCAGTTTCAAAAATAATACTTTTACAAATGTGTTGTAAACTCATTTATATAATACAATAATTATATGAAACAAATAAGATGTTAATTTGAATGCTTATTATATATATAATCATGTGTTAATCTCACAATATGAAATTACCAATCATTAGCATCTTCATCATTAATCTTTAAAGTTGAGAATAAGACATCTCTGACCTTGGGTCGAGGATCTTCCTTAATCTTTGTTGGTATGGCCTCTTCTTGTCCCAACATCCATTCCAATTCTATAGAACAATAAATAGAAACTCAAAATCTTATTTTGTGAATATTAACTCTTCTAGAATATTTATTTGAAATACATTACCTGCTTCAGACAAGTTCATGCCACGGAATTCAAGTGGTCCAATAATTTGTTTCACCATATTTCCATTTTGATAAATGAATATTGTAGGAAGATTGTTGTCAGGCCAATTGGGAATACATGTAGTAGAGATGCTTTTCAAAAACTTTGTAGTAGGAAATTTTCTCGCTAAACTGGCAAGGTACTGATTGACTAGAGTACAGAGCGGAATGCTAAAAGCATGTTATTCAATTAGTTATTCTTTCTACATTTGCTATAAAAGTTTATATCGTTTTTGCATACCCAGATTTATAAAGATGTAAAATAACCCATACGTCCTCCTCAGCCTTATTAATTTCTTGAACATAATCTTCCGCAGATATTTCTCGTACTTCTCCATATTTGGACTTGTTTGCTAGTTCCTTCATTTCAGCTATCCTCTTCTGTCGATATTCTTCCAGAATTCGTTCATCCTCTTCGTCCTCCAGTTCATCTAACTCGTCCACAGTTTTTTCTTCTAAATTATTAGGAACTGTAATTCAAATAACAAAATATATTGATAAAAACTATTTAAAAAGTAATTCTTTTGAAAATTAAGAAACATTCATTACCACGTCCTGTTTTTTCATCTATAGTACTCTCCAACAGATTTACTATTTGATCTTCAGTAACTTCTTGTTCTTTCTTCTTTTCAGGTATAATACCTTTTCTTCTGAGAATGTCGTTCCACTCAGTATCCTCATTTGGATCTTGCTAAAATGGAAAAATAAATCTAAAATGATTTAAGGAACAATATAAAATATACCTGAATTTGTTTTCTATATTATGACATGCTTATTTTAAAAAATCTAAATAGAGATGAAACTTTTTCTGCCTACACAGTCATATTACCATATAAGGAGTCACGCATGACAAATCTTTGCTTAACCTCTTTCTCTTTTGAAATGCTTCTATTTTTACTATTAGTACTTACCATTTTGAAAAATCGATATTAAATGCTTTTGTAAATCTATTTGAAATTGACTATGTCTTGCGTATATTATATATAAATTCCTTTGAATGTGCGCAAAAGACAATTATTATAAGTGTAAGGATGCAAAAATGACGGGAGCGAGCAACTGAGAGCAACAGCTGATCTATTTTCTACTTCAATGAATTAGTAGTCACGTGTGCAGTGCACATGTGTACTACAAAACTATATTATTAATTATATGTAAATAAAAATTAATCAATTATCTCCAAACTTTATTGTGCAAAGTAATGTTATAATGAGAAAAAAATATATATTAAATTAATGCACAAAAAGAAATTTATATATACGAAATATAACTTATGCATATAAAAGTGTTATCTTTTATGTTATGTTTTTTCTTTGCATATATTATATACATCTTTATTATTAAGTAACTCATTATTTTAATTATAACTATAATTAATAACTATTTATTAATTTTTTAATCAATCAATGAGATATTATTCAGAATTATCTCATTTTACATATCATTGTTGTTGCATGCAAAAGATGAAAATATTACATTATAAAATAACACTTTATTTATTGTATTTGCTATACAAGTTATGAAAATTGATATTGAATTTCATATATATATATATATATATATATATATATATATATGTGTGTGTATAAGATATCTCTTAAAATATATTTGGAAAATGTTCTGTCTTTTTCTTAAGTTTCTTATAATCATTTCTGAAAATAAGATTATGTATATATGAAAATCAAGAAAGCAACAAAAGTAATTGATACTTTACGATCAATCATTTTTGGCACTTTTCTTGTTACATATCAGTCTTTATATATTTTGCAATCTGTAATTAACATTCTAAACATAAACTTTTGCACTCAAAAATCTCCTTTGTTACCATTATTATATATACACTAATCATTATTATACCCAGATAGCCACAGTAATTATTATGACATCAAAATGATCATTTTGATGTCATAATAATTACTGTGGCTATCTGGGTATATAATATATATATATAAATATTATATACTAATAAATAGATAAAATATATATTGTATATATTTATAACTTATGATAAAAAATATGCCCATTTAATTAAATAATAAATGTAAACATATTGATAATTGTGTGTTTGCATACATGATCAAACATGAATACAGGTATATGTGTATATGTATGTGAAATCTTAGCTAAAAGTTAATTGTAAATGTATTTGTTATATATCATAATGTGTAATAAGAAGAGTAAGTGTCTTAAATAACATGTGCAATAAAACAAATGTCGGTCAATTTTCTAAAATTAATTATACAAATTTAATTATTTATTTTCCTGATTTGTCGCTTCATTTGATTGTTGATTTTTTGTTTCTACAGGAAGCGCAAGTGTAGCAATTGCAGCGCACAATGCGGTTCCTGCATAAATGGCCATAGCTCCTGTAATGGACCATTGTAGAAATACTTGCGCTATATAAGGAGTGACCATAGCACCAATTCGCGCCATGGCACTGCATGCGCTTACGCCTATGCTTCGTAAATGGGTAGGGTACACTTCCGGTGTATACACATACGCGGCTTGAAATACACCAGCGATTAAACCTCTGGCTAGGAAAATGGCGATAGTCAACGCCGCTCTGCTTAACAAGCAGGTCCTACTCAAAAAACAAATCACCACAGCGAACATTACTAACTGGCAGGCCATCGTCTTTCGTCTACCTATTTTCTCGATCGCAAAGACGGTAGAGAAAATGCCCGGAAACTCTGCCAATGTTGTCCAAAGCAAATCAATGTAATCGCCACGCTGTAATCGGCAATCAAGTTGGCACGTACTATCATCTTTGTTCATGTCTCGTGTGCCACATTGCTCCGAGGATGTATGAAAGAGTTCAGTAGTCATTAACACTATTCCATAGTAACAAAATGCTGTACTCATCCTGGAAGAAGTTGACACCACAAATAATATATATGTTTCTCTATCAAAACCAAAAATATATTTCTTAACTTTGTACATTATAATTTGTATTTACCACACAAGCCAAAGTAACGTGGATGTTTTGCACATCTCTTTGCTTAAAACATCCTTTAATCGACCATGATGAGCTTGATAAAATCGGTCCATAACTAATCTTCCTAGAGGTAATGATTTCTTATTTTCTCTAGCTACACGTTCCAATGTCGAAATCGCACGATCCGTTTTTCCAGTTGTCATATCGAATATTGTAGATTCTGGTAGCCACTGCAAATATATATTATTTATTATATCATTATTTGTGATATAATCTATTTATTTCTTTAAAAAAGTTTCTAAGGAATTAATAAATTTTCTATAAGACAAATATTATATATAATAGTATAGATAAATAATATATACTAAAAATATTTAAATATATTACCGGCGATATTACAGCAAATATAAATAATGGAATGGATGATAATATAAGAAGCCATCTCCAGCCAAGATTGGGCATAACGATCAATGCAATTGCTACTTCAAAACAAGCTCCAAGGGCCCAAAAACACTAAAATGTATATATTTTTATATTATAAAGAAATTATATATTTAATAAATTATTTTAATTCTCTCCTTCCTTTCATAAATATAATATAAACTCACATCTAGTAGAATAACACATCTTGCTCGTTGCTTTGCAGGCAAAAACTCTGCATATAATGTCACCCTGAAAAGAAGAAGGGTATCAATAAAACATATTGCAAAGCAAACAAGCTATTCGTCTTTAAGAAACTTACCAAATACTTACGATTGTGGTACACAACCAATAGCAAATCCTACAACTCCTCTAAGCAATAGAATCCAGAGAAAGTTTGGTGCAAATGAACTTAAAAATGCATAGTAAGATAATAGTACTGAACATAAAGTTAAAGCTTGTTTACGACCATATCTGTCACTCAAATTATTCCAGAAAGTAGAGCTTAACATCATGCCAAGAAAAACCACCTGAAAATTTGATTTCCAGAGTAATAAATTTTAATGATTCTCTTATATATACATATATAAGAATAATGAATGAATTTAATAATTACCGTAGTGGTCAATGCTTGTTGGTATCTAGAAATGCCCCAGTCACAATGTAAGGATGGACTTAGGATACTCAGTATTGTGATTTCCATACTATCTACCATCCAACAAAGACCCGTGAATAAAGACAATTTTACTTGAAATTTTCCAAAGCCTAAAGCATTGATAGCTTGCACCACAGTAAAGGTATCTGTCAAAATAAAATTTTTATGTAATTCAATTATCATAAATCAATTCTTGTATTACTTTATATTCATATTTCTTTCATTTTACTTTATATACACATATATATTATGCATATAGAAATTCTTTAAACATTATACAACTTTATTTTACTACTACATACGATTTGTGGAAAATATACAGACCTATTTTCCTGTGTGCATGCATTTCTAACATATACTGTTGTTAATAACATTTTATAATATCCTGTGTTAACAGTACAACTTAAGATAGAAGTCATTAGTGAAACCAGATTCCCCAATGTTATCTCATGCGTTATTAAGTATTTACATGATCTAGGTTTTCTTCATCATTATACATTAAGTTAGGTAAACCCTTCTGTACAATTAAGAGAAAGATATAAATTAATCAACAAATAATCACACTGTAATTTATTATATACATTTTTATACTGTTTATAACTTGATGTAACATACCATCTGGTATAACAACAACGGAAGAAAGTTCCATTGATCGTTCAGTACCATTTTCAAAATTCGTATGAGAACTTGACGTACTCTGAGCGCCAACATTTAATTCAGAGCCTTGTAATTCATCCAATTGACGATACGGTTCATTGGATTTTTTATCTGAATTCGACATGATTATGCGTCCAACGCAAACGACTTTGACATATACAAATACGTTTCTTGATGTCAATTTATTTTACTTCGCCGATTTCCGAAGTCATTTGACGAAAACGATGAGCAGGACGAAATATTTTTCGATTTGGTCAGAAATATCTTATTAATCTTATGCAAATCACCCCAAATCTCGCATACAATTCGCATCATTATACATAACTGTCAATCGCGTTATCTTGATAGCACGGACACACACCATGTGACGATTTAACCGACAGTAACAAATGTTTGTAATTCCTAAAAATGGATTTAATGGCGCTACCACAGATTAATAGACAGATCGCCAAAGGCCTGCCTAAAGAAGAGACCGCCATCTTCATGCGATAGACTTTGCCCCTTACCGACACACTTTGCCCCTGGTTCGAGTCCGTGCTAAATTTCGTAGACTTGAACCAAAAGACTTTGCCCCTGGTTCGAGTCCGTGCTAAATTTCGTAGACTCGACCAAAAGACTTTGCCCCTGGTGCAAGTCCAGGCTAAATTCGTTTGACATTACCAACAGACTTTGCCCCTGGTGCGAATCCAGGCTAATTGATCATGAGACCAATTTGAGAGATTTGGCCCCCGTTGTGTGTGTGTGTGTGTGTGTGAGAGAGAGAGAGAGAGAGAGAGAGAGAGAGAGAAAGAGAAAGAGAATATTTTACATATGCATATATATATATATATATAATTTATTAAATATAAAAAATATATTTTTTACACATAAAATGTTTTTTTATTGAAATAATCACGATTTTAAATGTGATATAACACAGTGTTCAAAAATTTTTAATTAAATTTTATTAAAGAAAATTACTTGAAATTTTTTACATTAAGAATTTAAAGGCTCCTTATTCTCTTGTAGAAATTTATCACTACGCCAATTAATCACTTATTTTGAGTATTTAAAATACTATAATATACAGTAATTTAAGTATTCGAAATAAAAGTGATTAATTACTCGAAATAAGTGATAAATTGGCGTTACTAGTAATAAATTTCTATAAGGGTTGAAATAAAGTATAAAAGATAAATAGGCTATATGTGAGCCGTATGCGAAATGTGAGATGTAAGACGCATATTGAAATTTAATTTTTCGATATAACTTTCAAAAATGTACACGAGGTACAAAAAATTAGCTTGGACATTTGTAAGACTTAAAATTGGGATTAATTCTCAATTCTATTAATTAAATTTCGATATAACACACCTTACATCCGCGCACGGCTCACATATAGCCCATTTATTAGTGCAATTTTTAAGTTCCTTATTTTTCAAAGTTCACCTTTTTACGTTATCAAATATTTTTGGTACGTTTTCAAGAATTTTATATTTTTACTTACCGCAGTTTCTTATCCAAATGTAAAATCTTTTATCGCAGTCTATAAAAAATTGAAACAATTTACAATTTTATGATATAATATTATTATTATTACAATTTCTATATATATGCACATCTGTCAAATATCGTGATTTATTTCACATTATTATTATCTATTTTAATAAAAAAAAAAAAAAACACTTGCAACAATCAAAAATAAACCGCCTGCCGCGAACGGAAAATGCCAAGAAAGCACGCAATTTCCGCGAATCTCGTAATTTTTTTGAAGAATCAACAATTTCAACGAAATTGTAAATTCTTCAAATCACTGCACAAGTATAATTCACAATAATAATTTTCAGTAACTACGATAAAAAATCGTATACTGAAAACCGCAAACGAAAGTGCAATGGGAGTAAGAGTAAAGTCTGTGATAAAGGGTGCGTTCCGTTATGCACTGCAAGTACTGGCACTATGACGTCATGCAAGTGTACTGTTGACAGCGTTCCTTTTTAATTTTGTGCACTTTGAAGCTACTGCAAAATAGTAAAACGGAACGCACTACAGTACGCTTTCAGCAGACTTGTAACTAACCTTTTTCGCTAATAATCATCGAGTGAAAAATTGGTGAAATGGATAATACCGTTATTGCATTAATTACATATAATTTAATCGAGAATATATATGATTCGAGTGAGTCATCAAGTGAAAGCGATTTGGAAATGGAATTAATAAATGAAATGAGACGACAAATTAAAATACCTAGAATAAAATGTAAAAATTACGTTAAAAATATTGTATCATTATATTCAGATATGGAATTTAAAAGTTAGTTCCATCATACACATGGAGGTAGCCATCTTGATTACTGCGAGTGCTTTACCTCGCCGGTTGCAGTAATCGCAACAGGAAATAACGTCAAAATTAATGACGTCATATACTCATGATAGTACTTTCGCAGTGCACTGCTATCTATATCGGAACGCTATTGGTAGTACTGTCAGTACTTGCAGTGCATAACGGAACGCACCCAAAATTAATTGGCAATAGAAAATTAATAATTTTCAAATAGAAAAATTTTGAAATTACCGAGGATTTACAAATAATAAAGTAAAAATATTAAATAATTTATGTTTTCGAATTTTGCTCGCGGAGAGGATCTTTAAAACAAGATTTTTAGAAGAGAGGACCTTTAAAATATAAACAGGCAAAAACGTTGGAAAAATTAAAGCGCGCGTTTAAACAGATAAACGCAATGAAATAGATACGCAATTGTTTTTACTTATCGCTGTAAGCTCACAAGCTTCTGACGTGCTATACACTTTTATATAATATATACAGGGTGTCCGGTAACTAACGGACCAATGATTAAGGGCGGATTCTCTGGCCAATTTGGAGACGATTTTTCCTTAGCAAAAATGTAGAGAAGTCAATAATTTTCGAGTTATAAGCGATTGAAAAAAATAGGTTTTTGAAAACTAAACGTTTTGGAGTTAAAAGTCTAACATAATTACATTCTTCAGTTAATTTCAGGTAGAGTTTACTATAATAAAATTTTAATTTAAGGCTTAGTTATAAAGATATATAATGACAAAGATTGGAAAGTTGTAAAAAATGATGACCTTTTTCGACATTTTCGCTGAGGAAAAATCGTTCCCAAATTGACCAAAGAATCCATTTGTAATCATTGGTCTGTTAGTTACCGGACACCCTGTATATTGGACAGGAGTTTCGTTTGTTTCAGATTCTCGAGAGTTGAAGTAGGAACATACGAGTATCATATATCGTTTGTGACTTGCCGAATGAAAGCAAGACAGAGAGCGAACGAGATGATGAGCTTAATAGCTCATAATGTTATAAATAAATAAATAAAAAATTATAACTTGACCTACTAGTTATTGAATCTTTTTTTAATAAAATGTTTCATTATTATTATCATCTAAGTCTAAGTCGTTTAATTACTTTTTAGTTTTTTAATAATTAATTTAATTTATTCTAGTCATTTTTATGTGAGAAAAATAATATCACGTATACGTTTTATAATGAATTAATATATTTCGAGAACCGAATTATATATTCTTAATAATATTAAAGTGTTTAAAAATTATATTTGACTTTTAATTTTAATTATTTTTAGCAAAGAGTTCCGAAATCTCTTACACACATAATGGGGATTTTTTTCATCCATATAATTCGCAATTTAGTATATATGTTAATTATTAATTTTAATAAAATAAAATTAAAATTAAAGGTCAAATATAATTTTTAAACACAAATATATTAAATTAATTATAAAACGTATACCCAATTTCAATTCAATTCAATACTTTATTTGCCCCCTCAGGGATTAAAGGCGCTTTTGAGGAGCGTACCCAAACCTTACAAATTTCTTACAATCTTAACTTATAGACTACTCTTACATTCTACTCTTACATCTATCTTACAATTATCTTATCTCTAACTTAATCTACCTATTTACTAATTAAGAGAGAGAAAGAGCTGTCCCTAACCTATTCCTCGCTTCGCCTCGGCTTCCAGTTCCCCATACATTCCCCAACACCTCATTCATACTTTCACACATTCTCCTCATACCTCCTTCCTCCTCTTCCCCTTCCACCCTCCCCTCCATCCTCTTTTTCTCTAATTTCCTCATCCACCCTTCTCCCTCTCCTCCTTCTTGCAGTATTTCCCTCATTTTTTCCCACCAGTTTCCCTTATTCCCCTCTCCCCCACATTCTCCTATTACATGTTCCCAAGTTTCATCTTCCATCCCACATAGTCTGCATCTTCTTTTCCCCTCCTCTTCCCAGTATCTCGCCCCCCTCATTTCATTGTTCATTCTATACCTCACTATCCTTCTCCATCTGCTTTCCCCCCATCCCTTTCTCAAGTATTCCGGTAAACCCTCCTCCTTCCATTCTCCATACCATCTATTGTATCTCGACTCTCTTATCTTCTCCCATCTTTCCTCCTTTTGCCTTTCTCTGTCCTTCTGCTCCCATCCCTCATATACTTCCTCCCCCCTTTCTCTTTTTCCTCCATCTCCCTCTCTTCTATCCCCCTTCCTTCAAAAAATTTTGCCCTCTCTTCCTCCCACACCGTTTTCTCCTTTCCTTCCTTTACCCTCTCCTTCATCTCCTCATAGCATTTCCTCGCTAAACTTCCTCCCATTCCTTCCTCTAATTTTTTCTCATACCCTATCGCTCTTCTTCCTGCTCTTATCCTGAATTTATCCTTTCCTATCTCTTCTCTTACCATATACCCCGGCGTACACCAATCTACTCCTAACGTCCACCTAATCCATCTTTCCTGCATTGCCTCTACTTCTCTCCTCTCCTTCCACCCCCATATTTCCGCCCCATACTCCATCACCGTTCCCACCAACCTTTCCATTAACCATACTCTTTTCATCCAGTCTCCTGCAAATCTTCTCTTTCCCATACCCCATACTTGTCTCATCACCGCTCCTGCTTTCCTCACTCTGTCCCTCACCTGCGCCTCCTGTCCTCCATTCCTTTGTAACTTATATCCTAGATACTTGAACTCTTTCACTTCCTCTAATTTTTTCCCTTTCCATCTCCACTCCATTTTCCTCATTCTTCCTCCCCCCTTTCTAAACCTCATTATTTTTGTCTTATGACAAAAGTGAGAGTGTGAGTGACAGGTGTGTGAAAGCGTGGCAGGTATTTGTGAGGAAAGAGTGAGAAAAGGGGTGAGGAGAATAGGAGATAGGAGGTGAGAGGGCGTAGGAAAAAGAGGAGGATAGATTGAAAGGATAGGAGAAGGAAAAGGGGTAAGGAGTTAGAAAATAGAAAGCAGGAAAAGGTGAGACACGTGGACACGTAGACACGTGGAAGAAAGAGAGTAGGTGTAGAGAGCAGGTGCAGATAGAAAGATAGGGAATTCAATAGGGAATTCACTAGGGAATTCACTAGCGAGTTGGAGCGAATTAGAACATAGAGTAAGTGAATCAAAGAAAGAAAGCGATAAGA